AAACATGCTATACATGCTATGACAGCCATTGTGTAATTGAATATATTTGAACAAATAGCTTAGAAATTGTAAATTAATTTAGTCGGTGGACCCTCATCGCCGGTGTCCGCATCGACTTGTTTACCCGTTTCAAACCCCCAGTTTTCGAGTTCGGCTGCTTGATCGTAACTTTTATAGAGTGGATTCGCTGCAAAATTGGCACCAGTGAAGGATTTCTCGTCTCTGGCAGCTGAGCTAACGGATACCGCGGTCGCCATGTCTCCGTGTGGTAGTTTGTGTGCTCACACCGCACGTTTGCTTTGGCCAGTTTAAACAATACACACATGCGAGGAACTCGCTCGCTGATTGGTCGAGGGGAAATGCATTTTTCTTCAGGCTTGAGGGGCGGAGCTAACGAGTCGCGTCTCAAATTTGAACGCAAGGCAGGTGGGTTGCCAGATACCATCAAAATATATAGTATTTACATAAGAATAACTTTTTCCTTATTTTTATGCACTCTGTTGTTTCTTATTTTACTGTTTGCACATTAAAAAAAAAGAAAAAGTAAAATAAAAGGGGTTCACAATGGTTTTGTTGTGAAAATGTTACGTTCTGTTCTTTAAAAATAGTTTTGTCGAGCTGGCCCAAGGTTCCAGGTCGTGCATGCATGTGTGTGCCATCAAAGTTGTGATGAAATGGAAGTAGCGACAGATCTTTTATTCTGTATTGACACATCTGAAGGTATCAGATCGAGAGAAAAAAATAATGTCGTTTGGGAACTGATTGGGTTTTGAGCTTGCAGTTGATTGTGGAGGGGAAATGTTTTAGCAATCCAAATAATTGAACAAGTCCAGTATACGTCACCAGACAGAAGTCTGTCATTTCACTGGAAGATCGAGCTATATTTTGATTACAGGGTCAAAACATGGATGAATTCCTCACCTTAAGATCAATAACATAAATTTACAAAATTGACGGTGATTTTTCATTTCATGCTGACTATTTCTGAATGAATGAAAATCCACAAGGATACACTTATAAATAACAAAATGCCTCTCAAAAGATAGTATCTTGGTATACACTTTGAATAATTACATTTATTAAAAGAGTATTTATAGATACATTCAGAGGGACATTAAGACTATAGCATTTCACATAAACCTAGGAAGAATTGCACATTTTTCAAAAAGACAAAATATAAATAAAAAAGAAAAACATTCAAAGCGGCATTTGTATCATACTGTAAACATCTAAATTCATATTCTTAAGGCCTTCAAAATAACAGTCTGTCACAGTCTTTGCTTTCTCCCTTAGCAAATGGCTGCAATATAACAAAGAGTGAAAAATTTAAGAGGGCCTGAATACTTTCCGTACCCACTGTATATACACAGTATGTATAACAGCAGGATTGGGGAAAGAGGAAGTAAGCTCGAAAGCAACTAAACACACCTGACCATATTTACACAATAATATGTTACATTGGGAATGAAATAAGGAATGAATAATGTCCACAACCATGCATTCTTTGGTTATTATGGTTTCAACAGCAAGACACTTGACTTAAAGCAACTGTATGTAGTTTTGTGTATTTTTGCGACTTTAAAGCCCCCTACAGTTAATTTAGGAAATCACTGTAGATTTTACAGTGGATCGCTGTACACGTGCGTTCGTTGCTGCCGTAAAGCATTTCACCCCTTTGGAGGGATTTTGTACCCGCTCACCAAACTTACATACTCCCAGAACAGACATTTGCGGTGGAGTGTGGGAAAGAAACCGAAGCCATTCACCTTCTTAGAAGTCAGTGTAGCACCAGAATGATTTTGAAACTGATATTTCAAGGTAAAAACTTTCATTCGGTTGCTTTAAAGAGCACTTAAGGTCACAGTTACCTTTTTTCCACTGACAGAAGAACTGTGCTGATGCTGGAGCTGGTGGTTATAGAGTAACAGTAAGTTGAGTTATTGTTCACCTCTTAAGTGACTGAAAGCGGCGAGCAGTTCAAAGAGAGGTTTGTAGAACCAAGCTCTGGGTCTATCACAAACACCGGCACAGTTTCGGTAGAAAAAGAGGTACAGTATGTGGGTTCCCTCAACTGAATATAAAAAAAACATCCTCTTTTCTGAAAATACAGCCCAATGAGCTAAGTGTGGTCAGGCTCACAGTGAAGTGCTGTGGTTACAGGCTGTGAGGACAGCACAGATAGAGAGGACAGAGCAGGTCAGCGATGGTTGAGCTGAGCGAGTTGCACAGACGGTTGCTGTTTGTAGGTTCGCCGGAGAAAGTCAACCATCACTGCAGCCCTCCACCAGTCGGGGCTTTATGGCAGAGTGGCCCGACGGAAGCCTCTCCTCAGTGCAAGACACATGAAAGCCTGCATGGAGTTTGCTAAAAAACACCTGAAGGACTCCGAGATGGTGAGAAATAAGATTCTCTGGTCTGATGAGACCAAGATAGAACTTTTTGGCCTTAATTCTAAGCGGTATGTGTGGAGAAAACCAGGCACCTGTCCAATACAGTCCCAACAGTGAAGCATGGTGGTGGCAGCATCATGCTGTGGGGGTGTTTTTCAGCTGCAGGGACAGGACGACTGGTTGCAATCGAGGGAAAGATGAATGCGGCCAAGTACAGGGATATCCTGGACTAAAACCTTCTCCAGAGTGCTCAGGACCTCAGACTGGAACTAAGGTTTACCTTCCAACAAGACAATGACCCTAAGCACACCGCTAAAATAACGAAGGAGTGGCTTCACAACAACTCTGTGACTGTTCTTGAATGGCCCAGCCAGAGCCCTGACTTAAACCCAATTGAGCATCTCTGGAGAGACCTAAAAATGGCTGTCCACCAACGTATACCTTCCAACCTGACAGAACTGGAGAGGATTTGCAAGGAGGAATGGCAGAGGATCCCCAATTCCAGGTGTGAAAAACTTGTTGCATTTTTCCCAAAAAGACTCATGGCTGTAATAGATCAAAAGGGTGCTTCTACTAAGTACTGAGCAAAGGGTCTGAATACTTTGGACCATGTGATATTTCAGTTTTTCTTTTTTAATAAATCTGCAAAAATGTCAACAATTCTGTGTTTTTCTGTCAATATGGGGTGCTGTGTGTACATTAATGAGGAAAAAAAATTAACTTAAATGATTTTAGCAAATGGCTGCAATATAACAAAGAGTGAAAAATTTAAGAGGGCCTGAATACTTTCCGTACCCACTGTATATACACAGTATGTATAACAGCAGGATTGGGGAAAGAGGAAGTAAGCTCGAAAGCAACTAAACACACCTGACCATATTTACACAATAATATGTTACATTGGGAATGAAATAAGGAATGAATAATGTCCACAACCATGCATTCTTTGGTTATTATGGTTTTAACAGCAAGACACTTGACTTAAAGCAACTGTATGTAGTTTTGTGTATTTTTGCGACTTTAAAGCCCCCTACAGTTAATTTAGGAAATCACTGTAGATTTTACAGTGGATCGCTGTACACGTGCGTTCGTTGCTGCCGTAAAGCATTTCACCCCTTTGGAGGGATTTTGTACCCGCTCACCAAACTTACATACTCCCAGAACAGACATTTGCGGTGGAGTGTGGGAAAGAAACCGAAGCCATTCACCTTCTTAGAAGTCAGTGTAGCACCAGAATGATTTTGAAACTGATATTTCAAGGTAAAAACTTTCATTCGGTTGCTTTAAAGAGCACTTAAGGTCACAGTTACCTTTTTTCCACTGACAGAAGAACTGTGCTGATGCTGGAGCTGGTGGTTATAGAGTAACAGTAAGTTGAGTTATTGTTCACCTCTTAAGTGACTGAAAGCGGCGAGCAGTTCAAAGAGAGGTTTGTAGAACCAAGCTCTGGGTCTATCACAAACACCGGCACAGTTTCGGTAGAAAAAGAGGTACAGTATGTGGGTTCCCTCAACTGAATATAAAAAAAACATCCTCTTTTCTGAAAATACAGCCCAATGAGCTAAGTGTGGTCAGGTTCACAGTGAAGTGCTGTGGTTACAGGCTGTGAGAACAGCACAGATAGAGAGGACAGAGCAGGTCAGCGATGGTTGAGCTGAGCGAGTTGCACAGACGGTTGCTGTTTGTACGTTTGCCTGATATCCTTCAGAGACTCAGCCAGGGAACTGAATGATGGACGCTGCCCAGGGTTGAAATCCCAGCATTGCTCCATCAGTAAATAAACCTGTAAAGAGGATTCGTGGGTTGCACAAATAAATATGTAAGAATACTTGTGCTGTATTTTTTTGCATTTATGAATATTTGTGCTGCTTAGTTTCACTGTACCTCACGGGGACAGTCTCGAGGGCACGGCAGTCTCTCATTTTTCTCCAGGAGGGTAATAAGTTTAACCACAGTCATCTGACCATGGACCAATCCCATCATCTCAAAGAATTTCTATGGAAAACAAAGTCATCCATCAATTTAAAAGATATTGCAAACTTAAAGGACTAAACTAAAACCATAAAAAAAAGTTACTTGAAAAAACAAACAAACATTTACTGAAATAAAATAAAATATATAAAAACCCTGAAACTTATTGTATTTCAGCTAGTTTCCAAGGAATCACTTCCACTTAGTTAAACTTGATGCACTAAAAAACTAAAACTGAAATAAAAAAAAAATGACAAAACACAACTAAATTACTAAAACTTTAACTAAAACGAAAAAAAAAGACCCTCTAAATATGAATAAAAATATTAAAAATGACAAAATATTAACTAAAATTACACTGCATCACACCAGAGCTTTTTGTAGGGTAATAAGTTTAACCACAGTCATCTGACCATGGACCAATCCCATCATCTCAAAGAATTTCTATGGAAAACAAAGTCATCCATCAATTTAAAAGATATTGCAAACTTTAAGGACTAAACTAAAACCATAAAAAAAAGTTACTTGAAAAAACAAACAAACATTTACTGAAATAAAATAAAATATATAAAAACCCTGAAACTTATTGTATTTCAGCTAGTTTCCAAGGAATCACTTCCACTTAGTTAAACTTGATGCACTAAAAAACTAAAACTGAAATTAAAAAAAAATGACAAAACACAACTAAATTACTAAAACTTTAACTAAAACGAAAAAAAAAAGACCCTCTAAATATGAATAAAAATATTAAAAATGACAAAATATTAACTAAAATTACACTGCATCACACCAGAGCTTTTTGTCGACCATTTGTCATTTGTTTTTCTGTATTTCATATACTATACATGTCAATAAAATGGAAATTTTTGGTCATTTTGTTGATTACTGCAGGTTTACAGAGACAGCGTTACACTTGTCCGCTGTGAGCCGTACATCCTTCATGCATATTTGGCAAATGTGCCAATTATTTCTTTACGTGTAAAACTGGAACATTACAGAGTGCACTTTTTATATAAACATTACAAACTGATGCAGAAATGTCGAGACGTACCGAAGGGGGGCTTTGGCGATGGTTGCAGTTGGTCAAAATCTCATAGAGGGTCACAGCAAAGGACCAAACATCAGAGGCAAAGGAAAACTTGCTCTCCTTCAGGCACTCTATGGCGTACCTAAAAAGCAAAAAAATATATATATAGTGTTTCGGAATAACTGCTGTTTGTTTAAACCCAGAGATGAATTTAATAATTAAAAAAGTGCAGAGATAAATGTAAGGTTGTCAAAGTTTTGTTCTTATTAAATGATTTTAGTTTCTGTGAAATTCAATAATTGTGTTCATCGATAGCAAACATACTTATGCTTTCACTGAGTGACACCACATTATGTCTAATGATGTCCATAAATCCATTAACAGATCATGCTGTATTGATAAAAGCATTCTCCAGGATGTTATCAACATTAGAGAACATTACCCAACTCCCCAAGCCTCCAGCTATTACAGCTTACCAGAACACAGGGCTGTCTCCGTCCTCACGAACACGATAGTAGATCTCCCCTTCGGGAATGTACTTTGTCAAGCCAAAGTCGCCGATCTTAACCACACCTTCATTCTCCACCAAAACATTCCGTGCAGCCAAATCCCGGTGGATGTACCGTTTGGAGTGCAGATAGTCCATCCCCTATGGGTGCGGCAGTACAGATTGGATAGCAGAGTAAGGACTATTAGTTTTTCTTTTGTAGCTTCAGTAGGACTTTGAAGGTTCTGACTCCCTCACCATACAGATCTGCTGTGCATACAGGAGACTTTGTGCGATTCCCAACCAGTGTTTTGGCAGGTACTCTCTGAGGCTTCCCAGTGGAAGATACTCCATGATTAACTGAACCACCTGTCCACCTAAAACAAAATACCACATATAGTACACCGTGAGTGTGGCCATCACAGTTTGCATGAGTAGATGAAATATTACCAATTGAAACAGGAAGTGGGGTGGGACATAGCCTAGGAAACCATGATTTGCTGCTTGCTATTTCTAGTCGGAGGCAGTTGATAATTATAAATTCAGTGGAGATGTTGTTATTCAAGTGAAGAATTTTTGATGGCCCTTAATACACACACACACACACACACACACACACACACACATACATATATATATATATATATATATATATATATATAAATATAAATAACTACCTTTGACTGTAACATTTAAATCTGGGTCCATTTTCCTAGAATCTGAATCATGTATTATCTGCTAAAATAGTATTTGTCAACTTGTATCTGTACACTGGCATATAGAAAGCTACTAAACGAAAAAAGTGACAAAACTGTATTTCATGAGGGCTTTAAGCTATTGGCTTTGCTCACCCAGTTCAGTACAGCACCCCTTGTATTTGACGATATTGTTGTGGTAAAGTGATTTAAGTATGTCGATCTCCTTCATCCAGGAATCGTGGAGGTTACTTCCACTCTCTTGTTTCAATGCCTTCACCGCCACATACTCTCCTGTTCCGTCATTGCCAGGGTCATAGACGTACAGCATCACCTTTCCAAAATGTCCCTGAAAGCAAGTCACAGAGTATCATATGAAACTGAAATATGACGGTAAGACCTGAACAAATTATTGAGCAGAAACCGTAAACTGACCTCTCCCAGATCCCTGATCTTCTTCAGGTAACGTTTGTAAAACATGCTAGGGTCTCTGTCTGGGAGTGACTCACATTCTGATGAAATGTCTGGATCTTATTGAAGAAGACAATAACATATCAATTTCTAAAAGTCACAAACAAAAGTGGAACACAAAAGAAATTTTGAAGAACACTGGGGCCCAAACAACATTAGGCCCTATTAACTTTCATTGTATGGACAAAAAAAAAAAAAATCCAAAATATCTTCTTTTGGGTTTTGGAACAACTTGAGGATGAGTAAATGATGACAACATTTTCATTTAAAGTCCCCCTATGGTGAAAATCAAGTTTTTATGTTGTTTATTTGTCTATGTGGTGTTTTTAATATGCTTTTAGACAAACCACGTGTCAATCGAGTATTTTCTCCTTAAAACTGTAGCTTCCCAAAGGCTGACCCAGAAATGCGGTTTGAAACAGCCCTCGGTTTGCTACGTCACAAACCAATAACCAATCACGTCAAGGGATCGATTCCTATCACTAGCATGCAAAATATACCAATACCAGCACAAAACCAAAAATAAATTAGAGCAAAAAACCCATGAAGCTGTGGTTTAATGTGAATTTAGAACCGCTAACTTGCATTATAACCCGTGGCAACAGTGTAAAAGTAGCCCAGAGTCAGACCCACCTCTCCCGCATCAGCATCTGCACTTCACACGCGTATGCTCGCGGGCGCAAATTAACAATCACAAATGGCTGTATTCAAGTCTTCAAGGCATTTTAGGACACAACATCATCAAGTAAGTAACTTTAACGAATGTTACAGTATTCACTGTAGTTGTCCGCTA